TTACAATTGCAATGCACATATAAATGTTTATACTTACACACACCCAGTAACCTTTTCATTATCGACAGATGATTCTTTCAAAGTTGCTTTGTGGTCTCAGAGTGAAGCTTTGACTCCATTGAAGTGAAGGACAGATATTGATAGAAATAAGATGTTATGCTCTGACCTTTCAAAGTGCACAAATTGTATGGATTCAGAAGGAGTCTTTCTGAAAACTTTGGGAAACACACATCTCACGGAATTTCTGGAAAAAGTCTATGAGATGAAAACTCTTCTGCCTGCATAGACCATTTTTCAACGGCTGGAAACACATTATTTTCTTATAAAGGGCTCTTTTAGGAGGATGTATTGCACTGGAAAATATGCATGAAATATTTCTGATTTTCTGCATCATTAATTATATCTATATAGATATATCTAGATATATCTATAGATATTATCTATTATAGATCTCATTGAGATGCCTCTTATAGAAACTCTTATGAACCTCTCCAGCCCTGTTAGCATTTCTGTGGCCTGGTTAGGACTGTTCCCAGGCAAATGCTACTGCCAGAGTATCATGCAAGATAAAGGTCATACATAAAACTCTACCTCAATATAGAAGAGTTGCCAATCTGCTGGAATTTCCAAACAAGCACATACGGACCTTGTAAAAGCAAACAGTACAGGTCAAACTCTCATACTTGGATTATTTCAAGTCAGACTGTGCCAGTGTATATAAAAGTAGACATCCCAGCTCAGATTTGGATTTCAGTGTGAGTGCCATAGAAGCTAAGTCCTACGGGAATCAAGAGGAGAGTCATATTCCTGCAGAGTTTATCTGTTTAGCTTTTCAGATCTGGAAGAGGTGTCTGAAATACACACTGTATTTTTGTTGCATCAGCTTTATATGTGATAAATAATAAATCAACTTTTTTTTTTTTTTATATGCCAGTACTTGTCCTTCAATCTGCTCATTTTACTAGACTGCTACAAGGAAAGATTGTTCACCCTTTTGTTCCTTTTCTAAATCTACAGTCTGGCTTGTTGTTTCCATGTTTATTGTATCTCATTGACTAAATATTAAGTTTTGCAAAGAGTAATGTAGGTTCTAAACCACAATAGAAGGATGATGGGATTTTGTAAGCAAGGTCCTAAAGTCTAAACTGCAGATTGCTGAGATACACACCTTCTGAATTGGAAAGAAGCAGTAAAAGTCTGCCTAATATTTGTCTAGAGGTGCTACACAAATAAAAGTATTAATGAAGCTAAAAAACTCATTGTGCATAAAACCAGCAAAATCAACCCAATATGCTTCTCATTTTCCTTTGGCAGATCTTCCAATAAGAACTGGCTGTCAATAGGGGTTTCCATTCATTCTTGCAATGTTTTCCATACTATGGCATCTCAGTGGAGGCATATGACGATTTAGTTTTTGGCTATGGCATGCCACCATGGCATCCCTCAATCAAAAGCACTTAGTGACATGCTTTTCTTGCACTGCCTGGCATGCAATGTGCAATATGTCAAAAAACACTGCTACCCCTTCCATACTGCGTATCATCAAATTCCTTTTTGTTATATTGTTTTCTTCCACAAGCTATTAAATATAGCTTATAAATATAGCAGAATACACTTTATATTTAGATTGGCCACAGGCACTGAGTAAATGCTTTTGCTCATTTAGCATTGTACTGAATGTGGGCACACTCTGTGCTCCAGCAAAGCCCTTTGCATGAAATCACCCATGGGAAATATCCCTGAGCATGGTGAAACATGGAAAACCTTAGCTTTGAGCAGAGACATTCTTGAATTACATGATGCTGGTATATTTACCTCTATTTGTTCCCTTACAGACAGCCATTCCTAGCTGTCATGCTGGCTCCTGGAGACAGCTGGAAATTGGCATGCTGAGGGGAAGCAGTATTTTGGTTGTTCCAGTTATTTCAAGGCATTGGCCAAGTCAGCCATGGCTGGAAGAGCTCAAAACTGCTGCCAGTCACTTTTCCATGCATCATTCTCCTGTACATGTTTTGTGTGCTCTGGGTAAAGTCATGGCTCTGAGCCATTTTCCAGACTCTGCTTATTCCAGCTTTCCATTCTCAAAAAAGAAATTGTCAATGACTTCAGGTATGATATTTTTGTTATATGATATGATCATAATTATGCTTTTTGCTTGTTTAGCAGAAGCAGATGCAGCATCTGAACTTTACATCCAACAGATGGTGTTCCACAGGTATAGCATGCTACTTGTACTGGAGCCTCTGTTTCAATCATTCATTTAGGTAATAAATGTACAAACCCCTCTTTTGGATGAAGAGCACCTTATGTGTTAGGTATCCAACAGGACAACCATGTTTTCTTTATTTCAATAATCTTTTGAATAAACTGTGATTCTGTGACTGTGTGCCAGTTTTGGGAAAGATCATCTCTGCAATTACTGAAATCCTGAACTTTTTCATGAATGGTGTAGATTGATCTTGTTATGCTCTTGCCTTTGCTATTTCAGATGGCTTTTACAACATGTCCAAGGTTTACAAAATAGAAAGAAATCACTGTAATAAAGTTGTGAATGCACTAGGTAACACCAGTCCTCTTAAATGTTTGAAGCTGTGACTTTTTCTTAATTGTAATGGCATTTCTGTGGCAGAAGTGTTTATTTCCTTGAAAAAGCAATTTTTTACAAGTTAGATGATAATGAATTTCTGAGATAATTTCAAAAGAAAAGAATAAAGGTAGATCCTAAGGAATGTAAAAATAATGTTATTCTGATCATCTCTTCAGGCAGGTAATGCTACTACATTTGCTTTTTGATCTACCTTTGATGAGGAAAGCAGCAGGAAAAGAAAGGAGTCAGTGAGACACTGTGGGATGACTCAGCACCTGGGGCTGACTCCAAGTACTTACATTTGTCACTTGTGTGTAAGTTACTGCCTGGAAGGCACAACATGCAGAAGCTGACAAAAAGATGCTCCTCTGGGTGCAACAGGACCAGCTCACTGGAATGCTAAAATATGAAGACTTTCACTGTTGAATGGGGCTCTTTAATAAAGAAGATTGTAAAATTCTCACATAGAGCAATGAATTTAAATACCAGGGGAAGAACTGACTTGCATCTTTTTCTGTGTAAAACAAATCATGTTCCTCACCTCCACAAAGGGCTCCAATAAGCATTCTTTGTGTGTATGAAGTTGATTAAAAGTCTCTCTGAGAGTTGCATGAACAAGGCCACTAAAGCTGTCTGCTTATGGGGACAGAAAATGAGCTGCTCCAATTAGAATTTCATGAGCTCACAAGTGTTTCTCTCTAGTCAGATAAGGTAAAAACCAATTCAAAAGGATTAATGTCTAAGCTTTCTGAATTAAAATTGCAACAGGTGTCAATTTTACGTGCCTGCCCTTCCCACAGATGTGACATTATCCATTTGATTGATGACAGAGTAAAAAAATGTTTTTTCTTTTGTCCCATTGTTCTCTTTTGAAAGCAAAAATATGTATTTTTCCACACCATTGTACCCAAGCCACCTCCTAGTATGTTCTTAATTGAATTCTGAAGATATGAGGAACTACATGTTTTGAAGGATACTTTGATTATGAACATATCTCTGTTCCTTTAAGCATAGCAAAAGGATGCTTCTTACAATATCGTGTAAGTTGCTACAATTGAGTCTCAATTTGATGTATCTTCTCTATGTAAAAATACTATCTACATCACTACATAAATTTTCTCAAATGCAGATTCCTATGTGAGACATCTTGTCCTGACTTTGTCTCAAAGGATTCAGGATGTCTACTTATGGTTATACTCAGAGCAAGAAGAATTTTCTAAACAAGTTTAATAAAGTAATTTTAGCTATGCTAAACAAAGTTCATATTTAGGTATTTATTAGCCTAGCTACACAGCACAACTAGAATGGGAGACTTTATCTTCCAGCTGGTTTTGGGACATCAAATAGGACTAAATTAGTCCCAAGCTCTGTATATTGCAGCTTCTCAATCTTTTTCCTGTACCTTACCAACACAAATGGTAGAACCTCTCAAAGCTGCAGGTTTATTTCCATGCTGCATTACAATGTTGATAGGTACAAGGAGCATTTGAACAAGTTCACCTGTGTTGGAAATCTCCATGGGTTGGAATGCTTCATGACTGACTCCCAAATATTTATCTTGAGATAGTATTTAGTTTGAGTTATGTAGTTTGAGGTTGTAGCTCAAGGTAGACAGAGTTGCAACAATGTTAGCATGGACTGACAAAGCTATGGGAGATTGCAGTGAAGCTGGCATTCTCTGAGTACCCAAAACAGATGTGTGGACAAAGCTAACTCCTCATCATCTGAAAAACAAATACTTTCCTGACTAAAATACCCACTGCTAAGTTGCCTAACATGAGAAATGTATTTGGTATAAAGCTCCCTGCATGAAGAACTGACCGGACAACATCAAACCCAAACTTGAGCCAGTGGTCAGGAATGGCCTCCTTTGGGGCTGGCAGAGTGTCCCTTTGCTCAGTGTTTTGCAGGCTGTGAGATATCCTTTCAGGCATTTTTGAGCTGTTGCATGGGAGCATTTGTGAAAGCAGGGAAGGGGGAGTGGGGGAGCCTGCCCGCCCTGGGAGCTCGTCCAGAATCCCCGGGTGTGCTTCACGCCCGCGGAGGGGAGGGAAAATCCAGCTCCCTGCGTCCGCTCCCGGGCTGGTGCGGCCGCTGAGCGCCCCAGGCAGGAGCCTCACCCGAGCCGGGACCGACAGCCCCGGGGCTGCGGGGCGCTCCCGCCAGCAGGAGCCACCCTCTGTCCCCGGGCTGTCCCTGCGGGACGGGATGGAGGGAGCCGCCGGCACGCCCTGCCTCGGGGGGAACACGGCTCTGCTCGGCAGCCGCCCCCAGCCCTGCCCAGCCCTGCCCAGCCCTGCCCAGCCCGGCGGGGAGGACGCGGAGCCGCGGCGGGGCTATAAAAACCCCCCGGGCCGGGAGGGAGGGGACCAGGGCAGGACAGGGAGCGGGACAGGGAGCGGGCAGCGGCAGCATGGCCCAGTCCTTGTGGGGCTACGACAGCGACAACGGTGAGCGGGCTCGGGGCCACCGGGGGGACCGGCATGAGCCCGGCTGAGCAGGGGCGACGTTTCTTTGTCTTTGTCCCGCAGGACCCGAGCGCTGGCACGAAAACTACCCGCTGGCCAAGGGCGACAAGCAGTCCCCCATTGAGATCAACAGCAAGGACGTGCAGCACGACTCCTCTCTCTCCTCCTGGCACGCCAGCTATGACCCCGGGGCTGCCAAAACCATCCTGAACAACGGGCGCACCTGCCGCGTCGTCTTCGACGACACTTTTGATCGATCAGGTCTGTTTGGATTTTTGGGGGGTTGCTAGGAATCAGGGTTTGCAAAGCGCCGGGTATCAAAAAGCATCCTTTAGCCTGTGCAGGCCAGCAGAGAAAAGTCTCATGGGAACGTAAAAAAGGTGCTCCTGGAGTTTATTGTGGCAGATCTGAAGTGGGACAGAAAGGCTGTTAGCTGCAGGGGAACCCCTGAAATACAGATTCAGCTGGATGGTGGACTTCTCCCTATGTCACCTCCTTCAACACAGCCACCACACCTTCAGGTTTTATGTAAGGGACAAGAGTGGTGCCCAAAGGGGTTTAGAATGCTCTGAGGCACTTTGTAAACAAAAAACTTGTATGTACGTTTCTACTGACTGTAATCTTCATTTCCTCTGCATGGCAATTCTTCAGGTACTTCAGAGCCTGAAAAAAGTTATGAAAATAGCATTTATGTAAACAGCATTATATAGTTTCTGGAAAACTATGAAATGGCTTTGTTATTTAATTGAGAGTGAGCAATCTCATGTCTCTAAATTAAATTGTTCAAAACTTGATTGCAGAGCTCTATCTGTATAGCTCTGGATGCAGATAGGCAACAACTGTCAAAATGAATAATAAATTCACAATATCATATAATGCAAAGAAATCTCAAAAGCATGCACGTATTGATTGGTCCTTCATCAAGAAGGAAAGCAATCTAATTAATGGAAAACAGTTACTTTCCTTTGGATTTCTGTGCATCTGTTTTGATGGCACTTGTATTGAGATTTTGTTCTTAGTAAGCTATATCACTAATGAAATACATCCATAATATATTGAAAGATCACTCTCCTGCTTATCTTGATGACCCCCTTGTTTCCTTGGATTTCTTTATTTATCTTTACAGCTACTTGTTATTGTTCCATGTCTCTCAGATGGAATCTCAATTATTTAGGACCAGGACTGTCTCTAAGTTATGTATTTTTATGGTCCTTTTTTACTGTAGTTTCTGCACAGTGGTCTCATAAATTGCACTTCTATTACCATAGAAACACAGAATGGTTTGGATTGGAAGCAACCTTAATGATCGTCTAGTTCCAGCCATACCCTCATCACCACCTTCCATTAGACCATCACTAAAGATGCATCCAACTTTCTCTTGAACATTTCCAGGGCTGGAGCATCCACAGCTTCTTCAGACAACCTGTTCCAGTGCCTCACCTGCCTCATAGTAAAAATTTTCTTCCTAATATTCAGTGTAACCATACTCTCAGTTTGAAAACATTCTTCCTTGCCCTATCACTACCTGCCCCTGTAACAAATTCTATTTATAAGCCAGAATGCTCTGCCAAAAGCTCTGGATAAAATGAATGCCGTGACTGAAAGCATGAGAAGAAAATTGGTAATGAACATTTTCACATAGTGGTTCTGTTCTTCTTTACAGCTTCCTAAAGGCTGAAATGCTTTAGGCTGCTCAAGAAGTTGTCTGCCCAAGAACAGTATTGGAGAAAGATCCAAATTTGGCCAAACCAAATGCAGCCCTTGGTGCAGCGCTTCCTCTAAATCATCTTCCCTCCATTTCCTCCCCGTATCTCCCCTCTGGATCACCTCTGTTGTTTCTTTGGACATGCAGTGTGTACATTCACTCCTGACTGCCCTTAGTTTCTGCAGGTTGCTGGACAGTAATTTAGGACTCATGTGTTTCATAGGCACATTATCAGAATCAAATACAATGCTTGACAGTTCTGAAAGACCATGAGGAAGAATTTTGTAGGCATTTTATAACCTTCATTTGTTTGCTTCTGCAACGCAAAAAGATGAGGATAGGTAGTAGTCACAGATTCCATTTTAACTGGAAAAAGAAATATAGTTGAAGTTATTTTTTTCCCAATCACATGGAAAAATTTGAATCTTAAAAAGATTTGGTTTTATGCTGGAGAGATTTGTATACTGTTATGAAGTTCTATTTTCAAGTACTTCACAGTACTTTAGCTGGAAAGGGCCACCTGTAAGAAATGAGTGGTGAATGAGTTTCCAAATCTCACACTGATTCAGCTTGTTAATGTAGGTAGATCACATAAATTCAGCTCCAGCCTTCCATTGATTCCAATGTGAAATGGAAACCAAATACTTTTGAGGAGTTGGGCCTTAGATCCTATGCCTTTTTTGTCCTATATTTGAAAGTTAAATAATAATAACAATAATAATTTTTCAATTGAAGGGTTCTACAGAAGGTTTGCTCAATGTTACCCAATACTATACTGAGTTAGGATTATCTATGTATGAACAAAGTAAAAAAGAGGAATTGCATGCTTAAGTCTCAACAGTGCTTTTTTTCTGGCCCTCCTCTTGATGGTTGTGACACCAACTAAAAAGAGAAACTGCAAAGTTAAACCTCTTGCTCTATGTAGGTATTCTTGTAGGATATCAAGAATTCATTTGAGACCATTGGGCAAAAGAGGATTTCAATGTTAACTTTGAACTTCAAAGCTATTGGTAGAATTTCAAACTTGAATGCTATTTAAACAAGGCCTTCTGGCACTGCAGTTGTGAACTACATTATCAGCTTTCTGTGTAAGGAAACACGACTCATTCCAACCTTAGGTAATGAATGAAAAATACATTTGAGAGCTTATCCTCTAAGCAGTCCCTGCTCTAAAGAATCTCCAGGCTGAAAGAGCAGGTGTGATGTTTTGAAAGTCAGGGTTGATGTCAACTGTCAGACTGATGCATGGTCAGCATTATTTGGCTAAGCACAGCACAAATAACAGCTTCTTAGTTTCTCTTGCTGGTGGATCAAGAACAATTCTGTAACTCACTTGACCTAAACTTTATCGTCTTTATTGAGGGAATATTGATTATTCTCTCACTTCCAAGAAATAGATAATTTTTAAAAAATTTAATTTTTGTTAGAAGCCGCTGTCTGTAACCATTGTTTAGTTGTCGACCTGTAAAAGGTATGCCTGTCTTGGACTGGAGGTACTTTTTGAAGCACCTTTGGCTTAATTTAACAGCACTAACACCAGTCTTTCTTAAAAAGACCCTTTCTGGACAAGAATCACCTGTGAACACCATCCTTCTCTCTCCATACCAGGAACTGTAGTGTGTGCACTTGCCAGAACAGAGGCGTGTTGGGCAGCTGGGGTTTGATTCTGTGCTTGCTTCACAGTGTCCACATCAAACAGAAGAGAATTTAGCCGCAGCCACGCAGACTGGCCAGTGGCTGGCTGGGGAGAGGAGCTGCGGGAGGAGGGTGCGGGGTGTGCGGGGTGGTGGCGGTGCCGATGCCGTGTCCCGGTGGTCCCCCCGGTGCTGGTGCCGTGTCCCACGGTGCCGATGCCGTTCCCGGTGGTCCCCGCGGTGCTGATGCCATGTGTGTCCCCGCAGTGCTCAGAGGGGGACCGCTCACCGGCGCCTACCGCCTGCGCCAGCTGCACCTGCACTGGGGCTCCTCCGACCTGCACGGCTCCGAGCACATCATCGACGGCGTCAAGTATGCAGCAGAGGTGGGATGGATTTTTGACAGCACCATTCCGTGCTGATTGCAATTTTGCATCTGAACAAACTAACCATTCTCCCTCTTGAAAGTATTTAGTTACTGATTTTCCTCCGGCTGTGGAACTCGTGAATACTGCTTAGCACGCGGCGGGATAAACTGCATCTGCCAACAAAAGTATCCCTGCAAGTATCTACTGACACGGACTCCTTTTCTTCATGCCAGAGTTTTTGCTGGTATCTTAGAATGTTTTAAAAATATTTGCGACAAAGCAATCTGTTGTTTCCAAATAGGAAGATCTGCTGAAGTTTTTTTTGGCTTTTAGGCATTTCTGGTATAGCTTGAGTTACCAAGCTGTTTTCAGAAAGAATAGAAAAACTCACTAAAAGCACATTTGATAAGATGACATTCAAAAAATTAGATCCATCTTAAAACTGATTCAGAGTATGTTTTAGTTCCTGAACATTTCTGCTTTAAAATAACTGTGTGTATTTTCAGGATTTTCAGGAACTATGGAAAATATAATGTTTGAGTTTTGTTTGGGTTTTTTGTTTGTTTGTTTGTTTGTTTGTTTTTAAATGTAAGCCACTGCAGGGCTGTTGTCCTAGTGTGTTAAAATTCATGAATGCTTTAGGGCCTGAATACTTCTTCAGGTCCTAAATGTAAGTGAATTAACTATTGAAGCTAGAGAACTGCTAGCAAATGCAGCCTCCTTCCTCCACGTTATTTGAGAATAGGCTCAAAAGACATACCTATACCCACAAAAATCCTGCACTAGTGTTTTCCTGCCTTCTACCTGTATTCTCAAGGCTCAGAGCTTGGGGAAGCTTTGCCTACCTCTCACAGGACAAAACTGAGGCAGATATTTTCAGGATCAAAGTGCACAGATATTGCAGAGATGACTGTGGATGATGGCTTAGTAATTTTTTTCCAGTTCCTTAACCACAGCCAATCTTTGCTAGTGTTCTGCTTTCTGTGGCCAACTAAAGAGAAAAAAATCTGCTTCCTCAAACTATTTCTGGGCTGGTTCAAGCACAGACTTTTTATGTTACTTTTGTCAGCAGTACTTGTGTTAATTGACAGGAGAAGAAAGCCTGGAATATATGTACTTAGCTCCATTGCAGCCACAGATACAGGATTCCTCCAACTTTATCCTTAGCATTAAAATCCTTGTCCTCAAGAGAAAAGAAACAGAGAGCAATAGATTCATTTATATTCAATTTTATTTTTTTTAATATTAAAAGAACTTTTTTAAAAAGACTTTTTTTTCCCACCTGTATGACTGTGTTCCAGATGCTCCTTAATCTGAGATTGCACATTGCTGGTTGCAGCATTTGTAGCTACATGCATGAGCTAGAGATTTTCTGTACAGGGATGTAAAAAATTTGAAATATATCCTGAAAATGCAGCATTGTTGAAAGTAGGTATGAGAAAGAAATGTCAGATTATATCCCACAGTAGATATGAGAAATGTCAGATTATATCCCCACTCCCTTCCAGTACAATGTGCTGAGAGTAGTAACAGATACAAACCAATAATGTGTGCACTACATACAACCCAGTGTAAATAACTTGCATAACCTGAAGATCTAAAAATGTACTTGAGATGAAGTGCATGTCAGTAGGTGTTTTTATGCACTGCATGGGTGCATGTCATGTGCTTGGATTAAACTATTTATAGTGGCATTGTCTGATATTGTGTGGTAAGGTAAACTCCATTTTCTGTGTCCTATGCTTCAATTAAATGCAAAATAATGCTTTATGGAAAGTATGGGTACAGCAGTAAGAAGTACTTACATAGAGTTCTCTTTCTCATGTCCATTCCTTTGCTTACCATGTACCAGAATTTTCTTAATTTAATTTAAAGTGAAGATTGTGTTGTTGACAATTTCTTGTTTTTATAACTGAGGTTTAATTGACTTTTTTTTAGTTGCATATGGTACACTGGAATCCAAAACACGGTAATTTTGCTGGAGCTTTAAAACAACCTGATGGTGTAGCTGTTGTGGGCATTTTTCTGAAAGTAAGTGGCAAATATTCAGTCTTTATAATTTTTCTGTATTTTTCCTCTTTCTCTAGTGCCAGGGAAAAAGTGACCATTGTTTTTCCTGCACTGCAGGCCTTTCCTGTGGTGTGCACTGGGTGAGGAGGAGGGTCTGCATAGGCTGAGTGTTTCCTCTCTTCTTTTGTCTGCTAGCAGGTGTTGTATCTGCCTGTCAGCAAGGTTATGTTGACTGATTCCCTCCTCTGCTCTCTTGTTGATTCCCACACAAGCCGGGAATCAGAATGAGTTAAATGAACCTACTCAAAAAAGAAAGAATTGATGGTAAAATAAGATCACTCAACATTCTAACCTTAAAATACAGAAACTTAAACAAAATAATACTGTACCAGTACTTTCAGATTGATTTTTTATAAACTCAACAGAAAGAAAGTAATCAAATCTGTATGTAGTCTAGGACATTGAGAAATGCTAATGGGCACACAGCCTAATAGTAATAAATTACAGAAACTTGTCTTTTTAGTGCCAGGTGGGCATTTCAGCTTCAACACACCATCAGGGAATCAGTGTCCTTTTATTGTTTTGTCACTAGTAAGTGGCATTTGTACAAGCAAGAATAAGTGGATGTAATTAATTTTGCTACAGTGTCCCTGGACAGACTAGATGCTGTGTCATTTTAATTCTATTATATTGTGAGCCAGCCTGACCTTTTCTCTTGTAGTTAGTCTAAATTGAAGGTCAGCACCTGTCCAGATTCTCCCTTATGACTATGTCCTTCAATTATTCTTCCTTTGTCATTCCTTTCGGTCTATTTTAGGCTAAAGTTTCATGTTGTAAAACACAATACAAAGCACACCGTTATATTCCTCTTTACCATGCTAATGTCAGCTAAAAGGTCTAGAAAAGTCAGTAGTATCACTGTCTTCTCTGTCCCTCTTTCTCTGTTTCCTCCTTGCTCTTTGGTGAAGGAGCTGTTGTTTTTCTCTGAATTTGTCATGTTCCATTACTGGGTTTTGGGATAGTACAAAAATAGGATTGAATTATCTTCTGAGGAATTGAAGTTAATCTATTTTGGAACAAGACATGGCAATAACAGTACATCTTATGCATACTGCCTTTACTCCTCTGGGATGTCAAAGCTTTTGGCAGTGCTAAAAGTCATGAACACAAGCAATAAAGTGACCCCATAGCTTGAGGTCGTCTAGACATGAATTCACATGTCTTACATCAAGTCTGATCTGACTGTGTATGTGCTGCAGAATGAAGTCTGCAGGAACTACAGCCCTTCAGGCCATCAAGACTTTGCCAAGCTCTCAGACATCAGTGGCTGTGGGTTGCTTTTGAAGCAGGAGCCAAGGGTTAAGCCCTGGGTAGTGACACTGAGTGTGCAAGTCCATTCCTCAGACAGGCATGATGCCTTGTAGGGTCCTTCAACACATGTTCAAATTACAAAGCCAGCTACTGGAATTTGCTATTTTGGATGGTCTTTGAACATACATAATTTTCTGTCAGTCCCTGCTGAATTCTCTGAGACTGCTGTTGCCTAATGTGACAGATGGGATGTGCTGAATTTCTTTCAAATACTGTGGAACACGATGAAAAAGATGCAGTATTTGTGCTTTGCATTACAGGTTGGAAAAACTCCCAAACCAGAGATGAAGAGAATTCTTGAAGAAATTGAAAACATTAAGACCAAGGTATCAAAACAATTTTTGTGATATAATGTAGCTGGAAAGCCACAGAAGCAGAAATCAGTAGTTCAGATTCATATTTTGGCATCATTTTAATGTCAAACAGTAGCACCAGAGATGATACATTGGACTGTGGAGCAGGATACTTTCTTTGGCTTAATAAATATTTAACTCCTCACTTCTGCAAGTATTCTTGTTGAAGAGGATTTCTTAAATCCTTGCATACACAGTCTTATTGGTCCTGTTCTGTAAAAAAATATGCCAGTGGGCCAATACCAAGAAGAAATGAAAATCTTTTGAAATTTGTGGACAACAGTAGCCAAAAAAATGCATATCGTAGAGTCAGAAATTTAGTTAGTCTAAAATGAGCAGAAACTAGTAGGAATGTGGATCAGGCTCCCAGTCAGTATAAGGGAGATTTAAAATACTGTTAGTTCTAAGAAGGAACTGTATTTATAAAAGGAATTACATGGTGCAATTTCTGCACCAGTCCTAAGTTCTCTCTTCCTATGATACTAGCACAAATAGCATTACGAATATATTCTAAACTGTTTTTCAGTTTAATTACTGATCTAAGGCACTAGTCCACACGTATTGCATAGATACAGCTGCTGAAGGGAGTTACTTGCAGGGAACTGCAACATTGCATCTCTTGTCGTTTAGCATTATCATTTACAATAAACTTCATCTCTAGGGATACTTTAGCAATTCTACTTAATGATAAACTTTATGATTCTAATAATGCTAAAAGTTGTTGGTTTTTTTCTCTTTATTTCACTTTAAACATGCCACCAGATCACCAAATTTGTAGGCATTTTCTTGCAAATTTACCAGAATTCCTTGTATTTAATGTATGTATGTGTGTAGCGCCATTGATGAGTAGGTCTGAGCCTGAAAGCTCTTCTCTCCTTTGTAAGAGTCATATTAATTTTATTTTTTCAACTCAGATTTCAAATTCAATTAAGTTCTTTCTGCTGAGGGAACTGAAGGTTATTTTTTTCACCCTATCCATGCCTCTACCTCGAAGTGTCAATGGTATCTCTTTTGATGGCTTTCTCTCATAATGCCTATATAATTTTTTTGGCCATTTACAAGTAGAAGTTCTGGAAAAAGCAACAGTTGAAGTGAAGCAGAGAAAGACAAGTGCATATGCAAAGAACCACATGTTGTATATTATCTCTTATTTCTTTTCTGTCAACCCAGACATTTTCCCGAGATTACTTATCTTTCAGAAAGATTAATGGGTGGTATCACTGGTGTATTTATCACACATGCAGTTTCAATTGCTCAGATGCATTACAGGCAGAGGAGTTTCTCAGTCACTTTATTTAGTGTATTTACTGAAAAAGCACAATTTTATGAATTTATTTGCAAATTCATAAGGAGCTTACAGAATAATCTTTTCAGGAAGATATAATTGAAGTCACTCCTTCTACTCCTAATTTGTGCAAGGATGCATGAAAATTATTTCAGCTTTTGCTATTCACTTTGTTCTAATCTAGAGAGAGTCTCCATGATAGAAGATGGAAATAGGAATAATATGTCTCCCTTCCCAGAACTGCATCCAAAATATCAATAGAGGAGTAAACTGCATTTTCTCAGTTAGTTTTTATTGCCCAGAGGGAACAAGGAATACTTATCACAGTCCCTTGAAGTCACTATCCTATTTGGTGGCAGACAAACAACAAAAAGACTGAGAGTGTCACCATGAATATACAATTGGAGGCACAATCTTGGGAGGAGAGAGGTACAGATTTAAATTCCTCCAGATAGAAGAGAAGACTGTAATGGATCTGGGATAAATGCCCGGCCACCATCCTGTTGGATAAAAGGGTTATCCTGTTGGATAAGGGTTATACTGCTGGATAACAGTACCAGTAGTGTCACAGGCTTAAACTTTTATCCCAATGGCCCAAAATAAAACACAATTTTGATAATTCCAGAATAGAAAGGTGTAAAAATGAATTTGCTTTGATCCCACACAATTCAGTTTGTAATTTCTTTTAATTTATGAATGTGATCAAAATGTCAGTTATTATTAATTGCTGGAAAAGTGCTTGACAGGAAGGAGATTGATTTCTTGCATGACTCTTGGTATTTAATTACTTGCTTTATAATGACATATATACTGATGACTTTTAAGATGCATATCTAGTCTAGAGTTACCACAGAGAATTTTTTTGTTTCCCTAAGGGGAAGGAGGCTCCTTTTCAGCACTTTGATCCTTCAATTCTTTTCCCTAAATCTCGGGACTACTGGACCTACCACGGTTCGTTCACCACACCCCCCTGTGAGGAGTGCATCACTTGGATTCTCCTGAGGGAGCCCATTGAAGTCAGCTCAGACCAGGTAAACTCCAGCCAGTTCTGCTCCTCCTTCACCCGTTCCCAGCAGTGTCTCGTGTGATGATTTGCAAGCCCCGTGCACTTTTTGGTAGGGAAAGCTTTAACTGTGGACAGTGAGAAACTGTCTGCAGAATGGACTGCTGAAATGGGCTGTAAAACTGACCCTGAGAATCAGGTGCTCTTGCAGGACCTCTTGAAACAGCCTCAGCAGTGGTGTTCTTGGGATCTAGAAAACCTGCTAAGGCAGAAGTGCCCCTGAGCCACAAAATTCAGCCATCACAGCAGCCTCAGTTCATTCTACGTGTTTTACAATTAAGTGGCAAGTGAGACTAATACCTTGCTGGTTTCCTGGTTTAAGAAATTGCTGGTCCAGACCTTTACTTCTTAAAAGCTGTCACTGAGAAAGAGCAAACAACGTACAACCTGAAAATCTGAACATTCATAGAAATTAATGTACCACTTGCATCCACGTAGCTCAAATATACATTTACAGAGGGGAAAAGGAGAAAAAAAAAGCCTGTCTGGATAAGGTGACGTTTTTAGTTCTTGTGTCCAAAATTCTGGCTATTTATACTACTTTCTGCTTTAGCAATACAAGTCGGAGTATAGCCTTTCTACTGAAATGGCTGTTTTCAAAATAGATTTATTTTGCATTTGGATGAAAGGGTAACAATTAACAAAGCAACACTGAAATTAAGTTAATTTGCATAACAGCAGCTGAGTGCTGAATTCATGATACAACTTAATAATCCAGTTGGCATATCTCTGCCTTGTAGAACAAAATACAAACTTCTGCACCAGTTTTTTCTATCACTGCCTTGCACTGACATAGGTCTGGATCCTCCTTCACAGACAGCTGTATTTTCACAAGGTATTTGCCTGCAGTCCTGCTCCAGCAGAGTCACAGTAGGGCCCTATTCTTTTTCCTCACTGTGGTAGTGAATCAGAGAAAAAAACCAAAAGATGTCCAAGGGTCAGACGATGAAGTGTTCTGTGGATGAAGAGTGTGAAGATCCACAGAAATTGTGCAAGCTCCTGGGCTGCAGAAATCTTTGTCAGTAATCTCAGTATTGTTAGAGACTGTCATTGTCATTGTGTGCTTGTCACTATATAAGAAAATTCCTTTTTCATCTCAGAGTTTGCTCTAGGCAGTAAGGTCCACAGTGCTTCCACATGAATTTTTCTTCCTTGCAGATGGCAAAGCTCCGTAGCCTTTCCAAGAATAGTGAGAATGAACCCCTGAGCCCTCTCGTTGACAACTGGCGCCCACCACAGCCTCTGAAGGGCAGGATAGTGAGAGCCTCATTCAAGTAAAATCTCAAGTCTCACCCGCTGAACCTGAGTGACAAAATCCCTACATCACAAAAGTGTAGTTAGTTTTTGCTGTCTACTGCTTTTCCTCTGGATCTAGGTCTGTGTTTCTCAGTTTGAAATTCTGAGTGGTAAAAGTGAACATGTTTTTAAAAGCAGGAAAATACTGTATGCAAATACTAAGCAAAATAAGGAAATGTGAGAAGTAATGATTCTTGACCACAAATACCTCAGCATTTATGGTCACTTCTCTGCCTTGTGGTCTTGTAAGAAAAATAGGCTCAGTTTCAATATTTAAAATTAATTTCAAAGGAAATATAGTAAGGCAAAAAATGAACCAGTAGTTCAGGAAAGCAGAAGTAACAGTAGATGAACAGAAGGGAAATGCCTGTCTCTACAGTGTGATCTTGCTCAGACACCCCTCCCTCAGAGGAAACATCCAAAGAGTAAGCACCCCTTTATTATACCAGATTTTCCCTTCCCTGTCTTGTTTACAGTTTTTTATCCAAGATCAGATTAGTGTTCTGAGGGTAAAATGAGGCATACTCCGTTTCTGTTTGAAGAAGAAGAAGAGAAATCTTGCTGTCATTTCAGCATTTGTGGTCTTTGCCATATCCTGCTGCTGCCATTGTTGATCTTTTCTTTTTTTCACCTGCTGCTGTTACTTCAGCCAACCAGGGTAGAGTTCTGCTGGTAACATATTGCCTTGTATTTAGTATGCCAGCTTTAACAATGCTGAGGGGTAAGTGCCTTTCTTGTGCTGCTCTGTGTTATCCCCCAGAATGATAGATTTTTGATGCTCTGCCTGCTTTTTTTATTTGACACCTTAATGGTTTCGCCTATTAGGGACTTTGTTGCATATGGAAAGGATCTTTCTGGATGATTCATATGTGTCATTTGTCATCCCCACTGCTGAAAAATCCAGGTTAAGTCACTTAAATTTATTTGACTGTGTTTATTTGACTGTGTAGCTGGAGAATATAAGTGGATTCTGTTTGGCTCAGTTCCTTTCTGGGGAGACACATCAGTTTTCAAATATGATCCAAGCAAGGTATCACTGGCAGACAGAAACACCTAAATCAACTTTCCCTGTCCTTCATCATGTAAACTTTATCATTTCAGTGTACAAGAACCATCTAGGCTGAGCCCACATAGAGATCATGTGAATAAAGATCTCAACGCCTAGGTGATTATTCAGTATTGGATATACAGGAGGTTGGATGGACAAAGATGGTGCATAAATCCCACTGCTCAGGAAGCTTCTGGGTTCTCTGTGTTCCTGTAACTCATCAGTAGGTAGCAGTGGGTCTTCTGGAGATGTTGCCACAAACATGTTCACAGCAGCATTTATAAGGGATATGTTAAAGTCTGAAAAAAAAAAAAAAACAAACCAGGCTACAAATGGCTGGAATAGGCATTACCTAGTTCTCATTAACTATTTCACTTTCCACCTTTACTAGAAAAATCGTGCTCCAACAGGGAAGTAATGAATGGGCAACACTGGACAAATTCTGCTGTTATTACCAGCACAATTTAATGAGAATTCAGAAATTAAACTGACAGCAGATTTTGATCCTTTTTATTAATTTAGAATTGTTCTAAGGATTGCTGAACCCCCACTGAAAGTTAGTAATTTAGTTTATTAGGAATGTATTTTGCTTAGTATAAAGCAGTTTCTTTTTAAAAACTAAGTTAATGTGAGTAGAAGCTAAAGAATTATGGAATTCTGTTTACAAATGTTTTAGCACTGGCTTAATTTTATCAGAAGATCAGCTTTTGATATTATGAGTGCAGAACTTGCAAGGGTATTGATTTTAGGACTCCCTTAGGTCTTCTTTAAACTCCTGAATCTGTAAATCTTTTCAACACATAAAAATGTTACTACAGAAAGCTCATAAGCAACAGGTTTTTTTACTGTACTATGTCTTACATGTAAAATTTCTTCTCATATCCATATGAAGTTGATCTTGGTGATGAGAAAATTTTAACACAAGTATCTGAGACAAGAGTTTGAGTCTTTCAACCTAAAAGCCATTATCTGTGATGTTTTAATCTCTTGTTATTGAGGCAATAAAGCAAGGTTAGTTGTCTGCACTTGAAATAACTGCTTTTATGTCTTCGGAGAATCAATAAATTGACTTACATAAAAAATAAATTGTTTGTTGTTTTTATGCTTAGTGATGACTGAAAGTAGCTTAAAAACTTAATAGAAAATCTTGCTGCTCCTTTCTTTGATACATGTTCTTGTAATACAAGGGAGAGAGACATTTTAGTACTTTTTAGCTGTTGGAGTTTAGTACAAGAAGCACATCAGTCAGCTGAAATGTTACATAATTCTGAAAATTCCTGATTTTGAAGCACACAAACTTGTTAAAGAATAATTGCCTAAAAATCAATTGCCTATTTCCTCTACTGCTTTTGAAAGGTAGAATAGGCGGAAGTTTATAAACTACTGAAAGAGTTGTTTTGGTTCCAACAAGCAACACTTGGTTTGTATGTTGGCAAAAAGGAAAATACAGTCTGAAATTTATACTGCTTCCTCATGCATCTCCTCTGATTCCATTCTGTCTTCAAACTGTTATTACACAAAAGCATCAGTCTCACTGCAAATATGCTTTAAAGTTTTGGTTTTCCCTTGAAGAATAAAGTGCACACAGTTTTGTACCATTGCCTTTCTTCCTTTGATGAGCAGTGTAGCTCAGCATTGATTACCTTAGTGAAAAAAATCAGCATATGTGGATTCTAATCCTGCTGTCTCACATATCTTAGAGAAAACAAAACAGTAAAAATTACCCTAATCATTCTGGGGCATGAATCATTATGAATTTAGTGCCTATAATGTATATATTAACTACAGCAGGGCAAGTGATTCAAATTAATTACCACCTACTAGGTTGTGATAAATACTTAAATTTTCCCAGTTTCCCACGCCTCACAAGAGAAATTACTAGAAAAATGCAAAGCTTATTCCTATAGCTTCAAAGCTTTTTTTATTAACTGAAACAGGTGTCACCATCTTTCAGTCAGGTGTTAATTCGTAAATGAACTGTGAATTCCTAGTATGACCCTTGTGTACAACCAGCTATGATTCTGCATTTCTAATAAAAAGAACATTTTTTTTTCTTTGTCTCAAAGAAAGATGTTCCTGGATGTCCTTACTGATGGTTTTCTGCTGAGTAATCAGTGTTGAAGAATGTTCATATTGTCAGGGAGCTGGACAAAACAGAACAAAATCTATTTCTTCCTGAGGCATTTTGTCCCATGCCTCAGCAAAGGGAGTAGTTGTGTGGTGTGTGTTCCACCTTGTTTATCGGCCTTTCAACTCAATGAGTCCTGGCATTTATCTTTGTCAATATTGGAACACAAAGCATGTATTCAGGAATTATTTTATATCCAATCCCATGAACTTAATATAATATTTTATCAGATTCCTCACTCCCAAGAATTTAATAGAACTTTTTATAACATTCCTCACTCCTGCAAGAGGCAATGTACAACCAACAAAGAATCAGAGATCAAATCAGACTCAATTTTTAAATTTTTTTTTTAAACCATATTTTTAAAAGCATCTTCTTCTTTATGGCTGCTGCACATGTTGTTTTGCAAAAAAGTGCAATAAAATTAAATTAACATATTCAGGGTTATTTGTGAGGGAGAGACAGAAAAACTGTAGAGTTTTGTGTTCATTAAAACACCCAAACGGATTTGAATACAGATAGAAGACTTGTGATATTACTGGGAAAATAAACGCCAACAGAATATTGCTATTACAGAAAATTTTAACTATATTTGGACTGGATAGCACAATACTTGCAAGAATGTCCATAAACTTAAATGAGCAAAACACTTGTGGAATCATAGGCCTGAGCTGGACCTGAATGATCATCCAGTTCCAACCCTCATGCCATGGGCAGGGACACCTTCCACTAGACCATTATTTGAAAAAAAAGTACATAGCAGATGGAAAATTTTCTGTAAAACAGGAGGATGGAGAAGAAAGAAATGCAATTTGTACTGCAAACTGATGAAGTGAAGATACAAGTCCACAGTCTAAATTAATACCTCACTTTCAATGACAACTGTGAAGAACATGAGTGAAAATCAAGAAGGGTCAATAGGAATATATATATATATATATATATATATATATATATGTGAGAATGAAAACTACCATTAGGTGAGATGGTAAATTGAGTTGGACAGTGGAGCAAACTTCATACAGAGGGTGTTGTCTCTGCTTCAGAAAACAAAAAGATCGGCATAATAAATTGCAACCCTTCTGTTAAGCACTGTTTCACAAGCTCTCCCTGGAGATAGCATCCTGCCTCTCTATGGGAAATTCCAACAGGAAGGTTGGAAGCAATGATGCCATCAGGTATGTAAAAGAAAGGTTTCAGTCACTGATGAACCACACCTGTCGTTAGCAGAAGCAGGAGCATTGACAGAATGTTATCTGTGTGGGAATTCTCAAAGTAAGCCTCACTGATTCTGCCACTAATTCTTCAAGTCAGAGGTTGACATTAAGTCATGCTTTTTGCAGTTCTGTCATGCCATCAGTAAGCAGAATATGCAGTAGGTGTTAGGAAAAAATATGCCTTTGGTAAATTTGAGTAGCACATTGTCACTCTTTTGCTGTTACTAATATCTTGCAGAAGATCTGTCAGGAAACTGTTGAAGAATTTGAAATTCCTTCCTGGAGTTAGACCAGGTTCCTCACTACACTAGGCCAGCAAGACCATGGACCAGTTGTCTCTGACCTTTATGGTGGAGATCATACATCTTTACTAGACTAAGATTTTTAATTCTTCCAATTCTCATGAACTTTTTTATTTTTTTTTTAACCGATATTCCCAGATTTATCCTACCTTCACCACATAGACAACACAAACATCCCTGCTGAAAACTAAAGTGAAGGATGCTGCTTCTTGCTTGGCTTGAAATGGTCATTTTCCAGAGCCCACACGGTGGAGCCAGTTCTTCAGCAGTCACCTTCCTGACACCAC